AGGGTTTAGGGTTTAGGGTTTAGGGTTTAGGGTTTGGGACTGCTTGGGTGCAGGAGCCTTTCTGTTCTCCCGAGATAAAGCCCACCTCCGTACGGCCAGCTGCCTCGCAGCATTTTGCTGCTGCTGCTGCTGCTGCTGCTGGGGGTCAAACTGCATTCCCTAAACCCTTTTTCAGCGAATTGGCTGGCGAAGGTTTTGTGGGGGTTTGGGAGCGGCAGCAGCTAAAGGCAGCAAAGTCCCTTTTAGAGAGTCTCGGCATATACGACAGAAGCAGAAAGGTGCAGCAAATTCACTTCAAAGACAACCTGCTGCTGCAGCAGCAGCTGCTGCTGCAGCTTCAGCAGCAGCAGCAGCACAGGCGCGAGGATCAGCAGCAGCAGCAGCGGGAGGACCACACTCACCACCATCAGCAGCAGCAGCAGTGGGAGGATGAGCAGCAGCAGCAGCAGCAGCAGCAACGGGCAGATGAACAGCAGCAGCAGCAGCAGCAGCAGCGGGAAGATCAGCAGCAGCAGCAGCAGCGCGCAGGCGAGCTGTCTGTACACCTGAAGGGCAAAGAGTGGATTGGACTGCTGCCAGTAAAAGAAAATATTTATTTTGAAAAAATGAAGAAAGAAGAAAAGAATCTTTTCGTTATTAATGAAAGTGAGCTGCCATCTAAACCCTAAACCCTAAACCCTAAACCCTAGACAGACTGTAGCAGCAGCTGAATTCGTTTCTCATCAATGCACTTAATGCACGGATTGCGCTGAGAGGCAGCAGCAGCAGCAGCAGCAGCAGCGAGACGAACAGAAGGCGCCCAGCAACTGCACCTGAAGATACCTTTAAATATATTTATATTTATATTATATTTTATTTATATTTATACTTATATTCATATTTTATTTATATTTATATTTATATTCATATTTTATTTATATTTATATTTATATTCATATTTTATTTATATTTATATTTATATTTATATTTATATTTATATTTATATTTATATTTATATTTATATTCATATTTATATCTATATTTTTATATTATATTTGAAATAATTTCATTTTTATTTTCATTTAAATTCAACTTTTAAATGCATGCCCAAGGAGGGCCCACAGCTGCAGCTGAGCTGCAGTACCGAGGCTCCCGCTGCAGCAAATTCAACCCACTGCTGCTGCTGTTGCTGTTGCTGCTGCTGCTGCTGCAGTTGATGGCTGCCCGCAGCTGTTTCATTTGCCTGCTGCTGCTGCTGCTGCTGCTGCTCCGCGTCGCCGCCCGCAGCTTTTGTCGGAGTGTCTAGACACCGCATTTAGAGCTGCCTGCGAGGCCTGCCCCGCTGGCAGGTCTCTGCTGCAGCTGCTGCAGCAGCAGCTGCAGCAACAGCAGCAGCAGCAGCAGCAGGTTGCAGAGCTAAACGCCAACAGGCTGCTGCTCGAGTGGCCAAACAAATTCGAAAAGCTGGGAACTGTGCTGCTGCTGCCAGGAGGCAGTTTAGAAGGATTTGAAAACCTCAGAAAAATGTGAGGGTTCAGGGTTTAGGGTTTAGGGTTTAGGGTTTAGGGTTCAGGGTTTTGTGTTGGCGTGTCTCCACCGATTCTGCACTCTTTTGTGCCTTCGCCACTCTCTCTCTTGCTCGCCGTTGCTGCTGCTGTTGCTTTCCTGCTGCTGCCACTGCTGCTGCTGCTGCAGTGGGTTTTAGCTTTTGCTGCTGCGTTTAGCTGCAGCTCTCGCGCTGCAGCAATTAAGCTCTCGATGTATCTCCATTTGAATTTCTAACTTCTTTCTCGCCCGCCCTGGCCTCTGCCTCAGCCAGCTATCTAGCTAGCTAGCTAGCTAGCTAGCTAGCTAGCTAGCTCAGCTGCGAGTTGCTGCTAACAGCTAGCTAGATAGCTAGATAGCTGGCTATTTAGCTAGCTAGCTAGCCAGCTAGCTAGCTAGCTAAATAGCTGGCTAGCTAGCTAGCTAGCTAGATAGATAGATAGATAACTGGCTAGCTAGCTATCTACTCCACGGCAGATCGCCAGCCAAAAGTGCAGCCCATTTTAAATGTCATTTATGTTATTGCGTGGACTGAATGAAACTAAATTAAATCAAACCAAATTAAATAAAGTAATCTAATACAATTTACTTCGTTGCTGCTGCTGCTGCCTTTGCTGCTGCTGCTGCTGCTGCTGCTGCTCAGGGCGAGTGCGCACATCGGCAGCGCGGCCTTCGAAGAAATAGAAATTCGTTTTTGGAGCTTTTTTGCAAAAGACTTTTTTGTTTCTTCTGTTGCTCTGCAGCAAAAGATTGAAGGGCCCTTGAGGCTCAACAAGGTGCACCTCAGCTAGCTAGCTAGCTAGCTAGCTAGCTAGCTAGCCAGCTGGCTAGCCACGTAGCCAGTTACCTAGCTAGCTAGCTAGCTAGCCACTCTTTTGAGCAACCAACTAACTAACTAACT